AAAAAAAAAAAAAAGGCCAAAAAAAAAAAAAAAAAAAAAAAAACATGATTTCATGATTTATGCATTTTATTTCTATCCCGTATGAGGGCAAAGAAGAAATAATCGATATGTTGGTATAACAGTTTATAATATGGTAAACCAATAATTAGAAATTATGCGAGATCATCCAATTTCAGCATTGAAAGCCCAACTCCACTTTACCATTCAGCCGTTCTTTCACATTTTATTTTCGAGTCAATGGTGTCTTTCGTAATGGTACGCGCGTGCCACGTTTTATATCAAGTCATCGTAAGAAGATGTGCGAAGGCTTTAAAGACGAAGGGGAAGAGAGAGAGAGAGAGAGAGAGAGAGAGAGAGAGAGACGTGGTCGAAATTTATATTTTTCCGACAAAGTATTTTTTTCCTTTCCTCTCTTGTCTCTCTTTTTTCTCTAATTTTCTTTTAAGGGCATAGTTATTAACCGAGATCAAATTGCAGATGTAAGGCTTCTATTTTCGTACTTTTATTTTACAGTACTTTTTATGGTACGAAAACTTTTGTCTGAAATGAAATGCTTGTCATACTATTGAGATTTAAGAGACATCATTATGAATTATGTTTGCTGATGTATAAATTCAAAGAACTATCCTGACATATTTATAATATTAATGTGGTTCGTGTGGTTGAAAGAGTTTCAAATCTTCAAACATTTACTAGTGTATATACTCATCAATAATTGCCAGGATGTTAAGTCTGTTAGTAGCACATACTTAGCATTATAAAAATGATATTTATTTTGAGAGGATATAAATTAACAGAGATGTACGGTATTGCAAGCTTTTTAAAATGTGTATTGAGAGTGGAAAAACGGATTATTATCATGATAATTAGGTATAATATTTATTTTTTTCTCTCCGACTAATCTTTTAATACACTCTTTTCAACACTATCACACTTGTGATTATTCACTTCAATTATTATTAAATACCTATAAACTTAATTGAAATGCCGCTAATTATGTAGTTAATTATTTTACTGTGAAACTATTGGCTGTTTCTACGTTAATGCACTTTACTAAGGTAATGCGTTCGAATGAAACCAAAAAAAAAAAAAACAAAAAAAAACAAAAAAAAAAAGTGTAACGAACAAGCGAATAAAAATTATTTTATAAGAAAAGTCGTATTAAGTGGACTATTAATTTATTTTTTTTTTTTGTATTATTATTACAGGAAATGACAATGCCTCCAACGCCTTTGACTGCAATTGCTCAAACACCCAGAAAAGAATTGGAATCTAAGTTTACCTTCAATCCTGTTCTTGCTAAGGTAGACAATTATATAAACAATATTTTTTTAATCGCAGCCCAAATTAACCAGGGATTTTCGATTGTTTAATTATGACAGCTCTTATCATATTAATTAAAAATCTATCGATAAAGCAAATAAAATGTTTTTTATTCCTTTCATCCAAAATTATTTTGACATATCACGTGGTCATAAATATTTAATTTTAGAGGGGGAAAAAAATAAGCGAACCATCCTGTAGAAACTTACTACCTGACATTTTGACAGGACTGTAATTGCACAAGTTTTATTCTTAAGAAGGAGTAGTAGATTGATGAACACTTTAATTATTTTGCAAAGCCAAGGATTCTAGGGAGCTATAAATTTTTGTAAAGAGCGCAAGCTGCGCAATACTGACACCATGTTGTTTGATCACAAATGTAATCGTATTATAATAAAACTTTAAAGTGACAGTCAACATTGAAGTATTCATAAGCATTCTTAGGCTTAAGGACATGACTTTTGTAGAGCAGTAGGTAGTATAAATTTCTTTGTTTATTTATTAACTCGATGCTTGTTCAATGACTCGAATGTTCAAGAGCCTCAAAATAAAAATCTTACATATCTTAATATCACGTACCGTATATGAAATAATTTTTCACAATTGAATTATCTAATTATCAATATCGCTGTTAATTTTTATTATGTAAACATAGAACTTGCTGTTATCGTCGTTATTACTTTATATTGCCATGCTCGAGCTCGCATTTTTGTCCATTGATGACATTTAGATCTAAATTTGAGACATGTATGTTTTCATCCAAGTAAATTGTCGTTAATAAGTAAATTAAACAAGTCTTTCGATGCTCTTACAAATACATTAAAAAGCATTCAAAGTATAATAATACTTTTGTATTATCAATGATTCGTATGAAATTTTTATGCACTTAAAATTACATACATATTGACGCGTTAAACTTTTTAAACGAGTTCCTTTACATACGTAAAATAATATGAGCATAGTGAGGCAATAAACGCATAGTGCAAGTTTCGAGAGCTCGGAGAAAACTTATTGGATAATGAAATACTTCATCGTCAAAGGCTACTTAAAATTTACAAATTTACAATTTACACAAATTACATGGTTCAAAAATAAAGGAACGAATGACGCTCTGAGATTAATAGTTTTAAACATCGTCTTTGTCCTTTGTCGAAAGAACGCCCCCACACCACCCGCCCCTCGCCCCACGCCTAATAAGAATGATTTTGACTAATTTTCTTCTTTTTTTTTTTACAGCTCACGGAAGTTCCATCACAGGAAGCGGTAAAGCCACGTAAGTACATCACTATGAAATTCAGATTGCCTCTTTGTTAATGCGCAGTCTCCCCCAAATGTAATACACCAGCACCAGCCGAAACTCATCCGATCCGACTTCGATCAGTGATGATATGGTATCTAACGATAGTAGCAGCATCCGAATATGCGGAAGTAAACTAAAATGCCCACCAGTGGGAGCGAATTATTCACGAGGCGAATGTGGAAGGGGGCGGCGCGAGGTGCTCGAGTATACTATATTTTTCGCGGGCGGCACATTGGAGGAGACGCCAATCTGTTTTGTTAGTACTAATTGACTTTCGCTGTAAGTACATTGGGAAAGGCTTTGCTGCTTTTATATAAAGTACGAGTCGTCGACTTTTACCTGCATCGAGACGTTCAAACTTAATTGTTATTACGAGGAGAAGAGTTCCCGAAGTAAATAAAATTTATAGGGGGCAAAGTTATCATTCATTGTTAGGACTTTGATAATGAAATTTTAATACTAATAAGATCGACGAGTAAAAGAATATTAGTTGGCATTTAGTAAACTAAAAGCATTTAACTTAATTATTCGCCGTACAATTGGGGGCGCATGTAGTAGATTATGCCGATCGAATAACAACAGAGTCATTATGTGTACATTACGCGCAATGTAGTCATTATTTTACCTCTCCCTGTAGCATAAGACCAACACAGTTTCAATGCGTTAAAATTGATTCTTGCTTTCGAAATAATAATGTGTTTTTTTCGTTTTTTTTGTTTTTTTGTTGTTTTGTTTTTACAAAGTCAAACAATTCGACGGGCGCCCAGTGGCTATTTGACATTCTAAATTACGTGGCTTAGACGCGATAATGTATTTGAAGAGTTTTTGGAATATTTGTTTAAAAAGTTAAACAAGAATCCGCTGTAAAGTAACAATGACGATGGGCCGATATTTCTAAAGGTAGGGGTAACAACGATAACGATAATAAAAAACCCTCTCATTATGAAAGCCAGCTAGGTAATACCTGTAAATGGTAATTGTGAGCGTCGCATTTCAATCGTCGCAAAACAATCACGAGCGCGGGGGCATAAAAATAAAGGAGAAAAATAACTAACTATACGGACGCAAATAATTCGAGAGCCTCGACATCCCGAACGTAGTATATATCCGGCCGCAGTCTGAACTCGAGAGAAGGAGTAATACGAAGCTGCCGCGCCGCGCCAGAGAGAAAAATGCCAGAGCGAGACCGTGAGCAAAAGAGCAAGAGGGACCGGGGGGGGTGGTGGCGGTAGAGGGAGGACGGGAAGAAGGGCGGGGTGAGGTGGGAGGAGGGAGGAGGGAGGGGGACGGATAGTTAGAGAGAGAGTGAGAGAGAGAGAGAGAGAGAGAGAGAGAGAGAGAGCGAGTGAAAGAGTGAGCGAGTGAGCGAGTGAAAGAGTGAGCGAGTGAGCGAGTCTGGAGTTCCTTCCACTCGCTTTTCCACCCTCTTAACGGCACGCGGAATGTGCCATCAAAGACGCCCGGGATGCTTTGCCCCCACGCGCTGCCGCGCGCCCGCGTATGTGTAGGAGAGGACGAGATACTTTGTTCCGATTCTTTCTCTACACCGCGATGTTTATTCTCCCTCTCTCTCTCTACCTCCCTCTCTCACTCTCTCTCACTCTCTCACTCTCTCACTCTCTCACTCTCTCTCTCTCTCTCTCTCACTCTCACTATCCCTCTCTCACTCTATCCCCCTATCCCTCTATCCCTCTCTCACTCCCTCACTCTCTCGCACTTTATCCACGCGTTCCTTCCTTCCCTTTGTTCGGCGCTTGCACTCGGAGTCTTTTTCTTCTAGAGGCCACAGCGACGACGGCCGTGGAAAATTCTCTTTGTTTTATGGACGAGTGAGGCGCGATAGATAGGCACAGGGTTCTTCGACGTCCATTCTCATCCATTCTCCTAATTTTCAGCGATCCTCACTGAATTTATCTTTGTTCGAAAGTGACTTTTAAATGTACGATTTCTCCTCGGACAATTGGTCGGTGCCAGTGTTCATTTCCACTACGAGCTATATAGGTTGGAATATATTATTCGTAAATTATTAATTATGTGATGTATAGAAATGAGTTTAGGCTAATAATATATACCGTATATACCGTTCACAAAGAAAAAAATCTTTGGTTAAGATGTTTTAATTACAAATGACACGTGCTTTATTATAAATTATTGAAAAGTGAGAGTAATAAATTTTTGTAGAGTATTGATTGCTTAAATAATTGTCTGCCGATATTTCCTCTTCCAATTTATACGAGCGATAGAATAAGAAAATGAAGAAAAGAGTCTTGCGACAACGTGAGTTTGTGAAAAAATAGGAAATGAAATGACCAACGATAACTTCCAAGATATTGGAAGCAAAAGTCGTGGCAAAAAAATACATAATTTCATCGAATTCCTGATAAATTTCAAATCATAGTTATATACAGTAAAATGAACGAGAAGCTCGATTGATAAAGAGAGAGAGAGAGAGAGAGAGAGAGAGAGAGAGAGAGAGAGAATTTGTTCGGAGGGGGGGTAGAAGGAGAAAGGAAGAGAAATCATAAATACTCGGAAGACTTTTCTACGATCCTCAAAGGAAACAGAAGTCGCATAATCTGACAAATCTAACATAACGTAATTTCCTCCGTCTCGTTCTCATCTCTCAGCGAGTTATTTGGGTCATCGCTGGCCGAGGCGAGTAAAAGCTAGTTTCCCTCTCTTCTCTCCTTTCTCATTTTACATCTCTCACTCACTCACTCACTCACTCTCTCTCTCTCTCTCTCTCTTTTTCACTCTCACTCTCAACTCTCTCAGCCCCCCCCCCTCTCCCATTCCGAAATATAGAAAGACACTCGGAATGGGAGAGGGGGGGGGGCTGAGAGAGTTGAGAGTGAGAGTGAAAAAGAGAGAGAGAGAGAGAGAGAGTGAGTGAGTGAGTGAGTGAGAGAGCGATAGAGACAGAAAGACAGAGTGTGTGTCCAAGCGCGTGTGCGTATGTCCGCTTCTGTCCTTCTTCGCAGCGCGCTTTACACGTTGCATTCAACCACCCATTTCCGTGACCCACTTTTATTGCGCGAGATATTATAGGCAGGAAACTTCGTAAAAGTGATAGTCGGCCGTCTTCTGTTTACCACCCGTCCTGATGCCGTATAATCTGTCTTCCTTACCAGGGGTGTTTCATATATAATTTGATGATTATTCGCTGCCGACGAATGGATGCACCGGGGCATGTATGTATGAATGAAGTTTCCTCACATGGGCATTGAACTAAAAATTCCCGGGAAATACGACACTTCACTTCCGCTTGATCTTTTAATGCGAAGAACAATAGTGCACATTCCACTTTACATTTTTTACTTTACCCTTCTTCACTCTTAGTATTTCTGTGCTTTATTCCTATCATTAAGTGCTTGCACAAATAAATTAATATGCCCATTGTTATTAATTATTATCGACGATTATGTAATTATCTGGTAATGCTTAATAATTGGCTGATCACTGTGATTATGTAAATCCAAGTAGCATCGGATTGAATTTCACCTGGACGATTAGAGCATTCTATTTTAAGCATAAATTATACATTTATATCTCATTTACGCGCGAATAGAGTAAAAAATACCAATTTTATCTATGTATGCGTTAAAGCAGCTTGTACATTGTTTGGTAGGCAAGAGGATACAGTCACCTAAATATAGAAATGCTGTCAACTATGCTTTTGAA